GTCAATCATTTTATAATGTGACATTTCAAATAGTGTAATTCGTCATTCTTGAATACGATCAATACGAACATAGTATTTTATGCAAACATATATTTATGATATAGTGTTATTTCTACTTGAAAATATACGACAACTCTTGTGATACTCGCCTAAGAAAAATAATGATATCGACTAGTTCTGAGTATAGAAGAATAGAGCGGGTAATTAGGTATTCGATAGTCTCCGGCTAATTTCGACAAAGAATTTTTATTTGCCGTGATGTACTGTATATATCTGTGATAATTTTTCTTGTTTTACTTTTGATTTTAGACATGGACACTGATCGATGTTAGCTGATTTTTGGACGAAAACCTCATGTAATTGTCGAAGAGTGACATTCGGAAACAATGGTAGTCCCTTACCAGTAAACCAAAATTTCTTTACCCCTCTATCAACGAATTTTTTTATTAGTATACCTAGATTATCTTCTAAGGGACCGTAGAATTTCTCAAACTTTCGGAGGTATACTCTCGCATTTTTATCAGCTTCTTCCGCCATTTCTTGATTAGTATAACCAACAATACCAAGTTCTTCCTGAATTGTGTTTATATCCTCTTCCAAGTATAAAAGCAAATTAAATAATTTCGAAAGTGATAAATTGGAAGAATCTTTATTGTTTTGATTTGCCACATTATTATATTCTACTGCCAGAATGTGGTTGCCATCAATGTTGAGATTTTTCTGTATCAGTATTAAATCTCCCACCAAATGTAATAGCAACTTATATGAATCAGCGAGTGTTTTTCCATCGGACTCGTGTTTTATTTGCTTTAGCGTATTACTATTAATACCAAGTTTTTCTTGAATTGCTATTATATCCTTCCTCTTATATAAAAGCACCTCATATAAATGAGCGCTTTGATCAGTTTTATTATTAGTATTACTTATCATATTTGCTATAATAAAATATCTTGACTAGTCGAATATATTTAATGCAGAAAATAACGCATAAATATATAAATTAAGTGAATATAGCAAATTCAATCTGAAATAATTATAACCGCGAAATCTCATCACGTTATAATGGCGATGTCATGTGTTTTAATCTGTGAATCAGAGATCAGCCCGTGGACATACATACCCAGCGATAGAAAAAAAAATAGTTGGTTTATCTGCGGAGCAGTGCACTCCGTGCCTGATCAATGCGTAACATATCCGAAAAATAGTGAAGACTGGTACGATCTCGATCCGATAAACCCCCGAAAGAATCGTGTTCATATTAAAAAGAAAAAGGTTGAGGACAACATCGTAAAAATAAGCCAATTAGAACGAAGTAATCTTAAACCGGAAATTATCATGATCGACATAGGAAGTTCATGTAACATACGTAATTGGCTACTGTATTAAATAAATAATCATCATCCGAGGTAAGAGACATCTGGATCTCGCTATGTCTGGCTAAAAATTTGTACGAACTGAGTATGAATTTCTTCCCATTCTTTCATCAGATCGTCTAGCCATGCAGTACTTAAACCACTCCTTAGTATACTGCGACGTAATAACTCCTCTCCGATTAGCCTATCCCGATCTGTTAAAAAATTTACGATATTTTCTAGGGTCTTCTTTTCTTTCTATTCCACCACGATAGAAACAATATCTCTTTCCAAATCCCCACGAAAACACCCCATGGCCCACCTATTTTTCTCAGCCTCTGTAATGATTGAAAATTCTTTGGGATTTATTCCATGTTCGATGGCATACTGATAAAGGCGATTTTTGTTTGGCGCCGTTACCTGAATTTCCAACGAATTGTCTTGTATTATATGATTATCAGTATTTTCGCTTTGTGGGGATTCAGAAGTTTCAGACTTTATCCAAGGATCTAGTCCAGTCTCTTCCGTGTATGCTCTCTGATTAGGCGATACATTAGTAGGCGATTTGGACTCAGAATCACATGATGAATTATTATTGCCTTGCAATGGGACTTCGTCTCTATCCGAAGATAACTCAGAACTATTAGAGATAGATTGCGATATTATAGATGATTCCAGATTTTGATTCGTAGGATGGTTCCGATGATGTACTATCCAAAGATAAATTTTGATCTCGAAGTTTCTTTTCCCTAATTCTCTCCATTATCTCTTCACTAACACGTTCTTTATATTTCGTTTCTACAAAATTAAGGATCTCAGCTGTATCATCATTGATAATATCTTCTGGTAATTTAGATTGTGCTAGGATATGTTCAGACGAGAGATCGGGAGTATTACCAGAATTTGAAGTGTCATCGGATACATCTGATGCCGGAAAATTATTGGATTCATTAGAATTTGAAGCATTATCAGATATATCAGATACTGGGGTATCATCACATCGTGAAACTAGCTGTTCAGGAGTATCGTTAGAATTTACTGAAGATCGTGGAACATTAATAATACTTTTTTCTCCTTGCTCTAGCTTCGTGATTCTGGCTTCATGGCTTTCTAAAGATTGTCTTAATTTAGCATTCTCGTTTCTAAGTTCAGTATTTTCAGCCAAAAGCCTAGCGTTCTCTTGTTTCAATGGATCTAGTTCGGATTTGGTATTTCCCATTGTTTTGTATAAGATACAAATATATTCAAATAAAATAATAATTACGACTATACATAATAAGTACATTATTAACTTCCTATACCCACAATAAGCGATTGGTCGTGCCACCCCACTGATATATTTACACGAAAATCTTTATTAACGCATGATGATCGTTGATATATTTATATGACCTTTTAAGGGTTAGAAAAATGAATTTCTATTATATAACTACGAACTACGAAACAATAAATCTAGACTACATTATCAGCTACTCAGCATCAGATATCGAAACCTGGGCCTCCAATCCACGTCTCGCATATCTCAAGTCTAAAGAAGAAAAAAAAATAAATTGATCCAATGATCATGGATTATGTAAGACTAACAATTGACTCGCAGTACAACCTTATACTGTATACTATTATTTATTCTTGGGAGTTTTTTTGGGGGATACTGTTGTTTCTGGGAGATTATCTATTGTAAATAAATCCTCTGACTTTGTGCGTAAAGCAATTAATTTTATTTTCTTAACAATATCAAGAGCATTGTTTATATCTTCCTGCAATTATCGAAAACAATTAGAAACTGAAATTTGTAAAAAATTGACAACACAAAGACATACCTTTAAGCGCAGAATATCTTTTAAAGACATAAGGCTTTCCGGAATACTTCCCCACGTAGTCCCGATCCGATACCGACATGTCTCAAAAACGAAATAATATTGAAGGTCATTATCATAGTACATTGCATAGATCTTTCCGTTAAGACCTTGAATGTAAAGAATGGGTCTTAGCCAAGAGTGAAAGATAATCAATACAAGAATTTATCCATTGTTTTTTATAACTACCTCCTTGATTTATTCCATGTACAACAATGTTCTTTATCCATTTAATTGTTTCCCTCGTAAATTTTAACCTCTTCAAGAGACGGTCTAATTGATCCTTCATTTCTCGCAAAATTTTATGCTTGTAGGAAATCGGTTTGGAGTTTTGTGGATCTTCGTCAACGTATGTTTCTGAACTGAAATATTCCACATCGTCAATACGAAATAAAATATCAATTTTGTGTCCAGATTTTTTTTTTCAGACTCATCTCTTAATAGGTTTTTACGTTCAGTAGATGCCAACGATATCTCTTCACCTCTGAAGTGGCAGAAGAAACAATTTGGATAAATATTGAGACACAAAGCTAAGAAATTAACTATCGCAACAAATTTTATTAGGAAACTTCATACTAACCGATGAATTTGAATTTCCTCACACGTCAAAAAGCAATCATCAATCAACGGAGTCAAGACATGACAATTCAGCCAACCTTCGGAGTTTTTATCCAAGAGCGGATTTCGTGGAGCTTCAAAAAACAATGATCTAAGTATTAAGACGAATTGTTATGAGATGGGTTACAACATAAACAATGCAAAAATTCTGTCTATAGAAACGAGAACTAAATAAGACTCACAGTTTGTCAGCAAAACGATGGACCCAATGTATTTCATAGTGTTTGCTAAATGAATATGTTTCATCTGGTGAAACAAATGGAAGTTGAAGTTTGCTACGGAATTTATAGCGAGTATCAGACTGAAATCAGATATAAGGAAAAAGTTAATGATAATAAAGAAAAAGAAATTACTAGTGACAAATCCTTAGAACATACGTTATCGATTAATTCATCAATATATTTTGTAGCCTCATTAGTGACGGGATTCCATGTATAATCGCGTTTGATTTGCAATCTATCCATTAAAAGCTTGTTTGTTGTGTCGATTATGTTTGAGCAGATTGGTTCACTATAATAAAAAAATGGTGAAAATAGTCAGTTAATAATATAATATAGGAATATAAATTAGCTTTAATAGATATGTTTTTACTTACTACGTGGATTTCGTTCGCTCTTTTTCTTGTCTTAG